CGTGGCCCGGCCGGGGCTGCGACGCCGCGTCTCTCCCTGCGCCGCGCCCGAGGCTGGGGAGGGGCGCGCTGCGCCCGCGTAGACACCGGACCGACGGGAGGACGGCGGGGGTGGGGGCATGCGCCCCCGCGCGCGGAGCGCGGATTGGAGGCCCCGAGCGAGTGGGGGGGGGGGCCGCGGTGGAAGCCCTGCGCCTTCTGCGTGACCTTGGCAAGTGACCTGCCCTCTCTGGACCTCCCTTTCCCCAGCTAGGCGACAAGGGAGGCGGGTCGCGGGGCACTAACGCCCACCCCCTGTCTCTTCCCCACCGGGCGACCTTATGCCGCCTCCTCTTCATCTGGAAAGTGGGGGTAAGGATTTCTCCTCCCTTGCAAGGGGTGGGGATTCAGGGGGTCGGTATGGACACATCCGGCCCAGGGCCTGGCACACAGTAGGTGCTCAGTTAATATTTATTCCCCATATGGGCTGACAGTCCAGTCAGCAGTCTGTCAGTAGGTACTGAGCACCTCAAATATGCCTGGAAGTGTCTTATTTTCTCAGCCTGGAGAGGCAGGTGTCATTCCTGCTTTACAGACGAGGAGACAAGCACAGAGAGGTTAAGTGACTTGCTGAAGGTCACAGAGTCAGTGAGTGACACCAGAGACAGAGCCAGGCCTCGTGGACCTTCTGGCTAGTGGTGTCCTCAACACCCTTCCCTTCCCTTCCCTTCCCTTCCCTGGGATGAAGGCAACATGGGGAGGTTTGAGCGAGGAGGAGGGGCAGTCAGGTGCCACCGTGTGATTGTGCTTTGTGATAGGCCACCAGAGGCTGGGCTCCTGTCCACCGGCAGTGTGGCCTTGGGAAGGCTAGATTTTGCATCTGTAGATGGGCCACCATGAACCCAGAATGTTCTGAGGGTCCAGTGGGCCCGTGGCTGGGACGGCAGGCGATTAGCTGGAGCGGTTGTGTGTGTTGTTTGCTGGGATTGACCCGTAGACCCTAGTGGGTCAGCATACACGCTACAAGCCACGTCCCTTTCACACGGAAGGTGGCCCAGTTCAGCCATTTGTCACATATGTGGTTTCCCTACCATCCGCTGCCTGCGCGGAGGCCTCTGGGGATGGCGAGAATAAGGCCTGCTC